AGAAATTATATCAAGAAAAATGTCATTATTGTGTTTGTAAAGTAGGTATACATAAATGAGACAGTTACTTTAAATGATTTCAAACTCAAGGAGCTTCAGACTTAATCGTGTCTAGCTTCTCTCTATAACATTATGCTTAGCTTATTAATCTACCTACTTTTCTTGGAACTATTACTATCTTCACCCTATTATCCATTAACAAATTTCTTACTCTGTAAAGCCTTAGTTCCTGGTTAAACAGCTTCAAGATTTTCTTAACACTAGGATTACAAGGTCCGAGATTCAATACCTGACTCCGCAGTAAATCATCTGCACCATTAAAGGGGCAGTACAGTAGAGTGGTTAGAACCCAGGCTCTGCAGCAGACTGCCTGGGTTGGAGTTCCTGCTCTGCCAGTGATTAGATGTTTGTGACTCTAGTCTCTGTGTGTCACTTTCCTCATTTGTGAATTGCATGTAACAGCACCTACTCAGAGTTGAGGGGATGAATTGAGTTAATTATATATATATATAATCTCCCACTTAGAACAGTGATTGGCAGACAGGATATGTCTGCCAGTAGTCCAACATTGTTACTGTTATTGCTACTGTATGACTACCTTTCCTGATCTTATTTGTCTTAATTTGATTCAGATGGAAATACCTCAAATCTTCACCCAATTTTTCATTCCAACCTTCTCATACCACCTTCACAATCAATTTGTTAACTCTCTTTTCCTAACCAAGTAGCTTTCTTGAGGGTCACTGTTGAAACGCAGTACTAAAATAGGCATACCTTTATATTTTTTGGTTTCTCAAGCTCACCAGACTAATATTTTTAGGGAATATCTATCAGTGCTCCTGGGTTCATTTTAGTCACAATTGTCATTTATAAATATTAGGTTAGTGCAAAAGTAATCACAGTTTTTGCCATTGAAAGTAATGGTATTGCTAATAGTATTTAATAGTATTATGATATTTACCCTAAATTATACTGCCTTGTACTTGAACACACCATGGGTCACCTCATACTCATACACTGCTCTGATTCTGAAACCTTTCTGCAGTCTGATTCTTGTCAGCTTGGTATTTGACCACCTGAAAAAGTTTAGTATCATCAGCAAACTTGGAGAGACTGCTATGCATGTCTCCTACTGTTTCTAATCGTCCACCCTAAAAAATATCTGTTTAGCCACACCACTATGATACACGGTGGCGAGGGGTGCTGCTGAGCAGAGTGCACCCTCGAAATAAGACAGTCCTAGGTTTCAATCCTGGTTTTGTATCTAATCTGTGTAGCCTTCAGTAAATTACCTGAACTTGTTCAGTCTCAGCTTTCCCATCAGTGAAAGGCATGTAATGGTGATTTTCTTGCAAAGTTGTTGTAAGGAATATGTATACACACACAAATGCTCCTCAACTTACAATGTGGTTACGTTCTGATATACCCATCCTAAATTGAAAATACCATAAATTGAAAATGCATTTGATGCA